GCTCTTTGGTTTTCTTAAAAAGGACAGGGAGAGTGTTTAGATTGAAATTCCCCTTACTTGGGGCTAAAGCAAGCCTTTTTTATCCAAGAGACACCAGATCTCACCTTCCCCTACCTACCAGCTTGTGCCAAGCACAGTAGCTGAGAAATACACGGGACCAACCTCCTGCTGCCCTGAACTTTAGGCATCTCTAACTAGAAGCAAAGGTAAACAGGATGGGAAGCATCCTAAAGTTAAAAGGCACCTCTTTCACACTAATATAAATAACCGGTTATAATGAAAAGTGGTAAAAAAAAAAAATTTAAATCAAGAGCTACATGAGAAAATTGCAGAATCCCTCTCCCACTCTCACCAGTGTCTGAACTGAACTGGGATCTGTCAGTATTATACCTCTGTCATCGCGGTGTACAGTCCCTAGCCAAGCCCCACATTCAGACTTTGCCTACATGGCAGCCTGTGCGAGTGCAGGGACTCCCATTCATGCCAGTTGTGCTGTGCTGAGGAGGGACGGGAGCACAGATAACGGACATGCAATTTGCACCAGCCTGAAACAGCCTGTACTCCTAGGTGACACCAGCCAACACAGCCCTGCACATATCAACCAAACTACATTCATTCACAACACAGAAGCATAAACCTCGTAGCTACTGATTGAAAACACTACACAAATGCAGATGTGGACACCATAAGAAGATCTCAGACCAACACATTGAGAAGTGTATTTTCATCAGAACTGCCTTTTGTACTTACCATCTTCCTGGACATTGAAATGTTCTGTTGGGTTCATAGAGACAACGCTGACGTGGGATTTCAGGAGCTGGAAGATCTCATTCAGTTGTTCCCTGTTACTGTCACAGTCCACAAAGATCTCAAACTCAGAATTTCGTCTCTTGGACTTCCGTGACTCAATGTGTACCAGATTTACATGCTTCTCCTGTTTTGCAAGAAGTAACGTTTTCAAACAGACTGACTAAAAACTAAAATCTGTTTATCATATGAATATTCACCACCTTTGTGAAGCTATTTTAGTTAATTGGATCTCTCGATAGCAGTTTGCTTATTGGAGGGGGGAAATGATTTGATTTTAAAAAGCCTCCCATTCAGAACAAAATGAAAGAGAACCTGTGTTCTTTCAATTTTATTTACATTCAGGAAGCACAGAAAGACACAGTCAGGAGGTTTAAATTCATAGACCTTTTTCTTTCATCCCTCCCATAGGAAGCTGATTAGCAACTGGGTCTGGAGAAATTCACCAAAATGCCAATCAAGTCACCATATAATTATCTCACAAGCAAGCAAGGGATTTAAAAGCAGTAGTTTTCAGGGCATAAATTTCACTTTTATTTGAAAAATTATTTAATCATATGTCTTGTATCAGGAACACAGAGCAAACCCCAGGCTAAGACACGCAGGGCCAGATGACAAAGCACAGTGGCACTGTGCATATTCCTTGCACAATACCTGCCCAGCAATCGAAGGAGCGTGGTTGTGCAATTGCAGTTCCTCTGTCACCCTCAGTCCGGCTAGGCAGGGTGACAAAGGGCACCGGACTCAACCCAGTGTGGGTCAGCAGCCCAAGTGTCTACCTGCCATCGGCAGGAGCTTCAGACCCACCTCTTATATGCCGTGAGTGCCAATCCTCTTTTCATGAGGGGAAAAGACAAAACTCTCTCAGTCTTTAGTAGGTGCAGGTGATACATTTTGTGAAGATTTTTAGCCAGCCAGCATCTAATTTCTGAGACATAAATTTGCCTTTGTGGGTAATTTTGGGTGCAAAGTGGGAGCCGGGTTAGGAATCACATCATTAATAAATGGATGTATTTAATTCTAGTGTCTTCCAAAACTATCCTTACAATTTAAAAATACAGAGCTGCTGTAGCAATGTGATTATCACATACCTGAAAGAGTTTTAATGCTTTTACAAGTCCTCCAACTTCATTCTTCAAGGAAAAAATGATGGCCGTTCTTCCTCTTTCAGACGCATGGTCTTCATTCTCTTTATTATCTTCAATCACCATGTAATTTGACTTATTTAACTAAATGCAAACAAACAAAAAATTTTATTGAATGGCTAGTAGTGCAAAAAGTGTAAAGTTTTACATTTCAGTTTGTCTTGGGGTAATATTGTGCTTTGACTGATCAATGACAAAAGGAAAGGTGCCAATTAAATCATTACACAGTAACAGGCATAAAGTTAGGCACACAGAATCTGTGAGAGCTGAGGATGAAATACTGAGATTTTTTTTTTCAGTTGAATGATTTTGTAGACATCTTTAGTCATTCTCTAGGATGCAGAAAATGTTTTCAAAGTATAGTTTATAATTAGCATTGGTATTTTGGGGGGTGGGGGGGAAGGAGCTATAAAATGTTAGCAGAAATAATAAGTTGAACAAAATACTTATTAGCAAATCCGATAAATATTGGTAAAGGGAATAATCCAAAACCCGCTGGATATAGATAGGAAAAGATGGATCAGAATTTAGTAGATCAGAACTGAAAAATCATTGCCTTTCTCTCACTACGTAACTGTAAAGCACTGCTTTTACAGAGAAAGGAGACAAAACCTAAGGAGTTAAAACTTTGTGCTGACCAGAATCTGTTGACTATAGAGACAGTCCCACCCTGATCAACCACAACCAAGCTATTCCATCTGCCAGGTCCCCTAATTCACATGCCAAACCCTTATCGTAATCACCTAAATCACACACTAAAAATTTTCAGACAACCATCACTGTAGGACCACGTGGTTTTGTACATTACTAGTGATCATGCTTCTGACTGTTGAAATCAGTGGATATCACAGGCCATATTCTTAGTCACATGTAGCCAGGCCATAAATAAAGATAATATAGAAACAATTAAAAATGCAAAAAATGCAAAGTAAAGACAAAATACAAGGCTTAGAAGCAAAGGCTGTCTCTCATATGTTTTCAAATCTTGCAAAAAGAAACAAAAAAGGTGAGGTTTCTGAAGGAGCCAGTGAGAAAGAGGAGAGGAACAATGAAGGCACATAATTGCTATTTGGAATTATTTTTTTATTTGACAGTTTTTAAAGATACGACTATCTGGTGACAACTCACCGGGAATGGAAAGAGCAAAAATAAAAATGCAATCAAAATGCAACAGTTCTGTTGATTCCCTTCTACAGTCTCTCCAACTTTAACCTCTTTAAAACGGATAATGCTGTACAGCTAAGTATTTCTATCTATAACAGGTAAGTTTAAAGATAAAAACCAGATTGTACCTATCTTTTATCAAAACGTTCCCATTTATCTTTCAGATTAAGATGATAACCTGCCTAACAAAATAATGAAATTACTTCATTTTAAATTGAGTGGTTTACAACAAGGCAGATATTTGATGCTGCTCTAAGAAAGGTTTCAAGCAGGTTGCTAGCTGTGAGCTCTCTAGGGTGTAGAGGTGGTGTCCCATGGAAGAGGTCTTGCTCCAAAGCCCACTGATGCTCATGGAAATATAATCGCTGGATTTCTGACTTGGTCCCCATCTCTAACGAGTTGTCACTATACGATGAGCCTGGACGACAGTGTCAGTCCATCACACTGTTTCTGATCCAACAAAGCCACTGATCTCCATCAACTTGAGTCCAGACATCAAATTCAGAACTGCTGAAAGTGGGTGACGGGGCCCGATCCGGGTTCTGCTGAGCAGCCTGCAGGTTTCACAGCTCGCTTCAGCAATCGTCAGATCAGGATCGCAAGAGCCAGGAACAGGCACTGAGCAAGGGTGAGTTTTTCTTCTCACTCCAAGCAGAGAAGAAAAAAACTAATAACCCCACAATTGCATATAGGTTATTGGTTGTTTTCTCAAGTGCAGAGATAGCCATTTGCATGAGCCAAATCCTACCCAGATGATACTGCTGTAGAAGAAGCTGGATGCAAAGAAGTCTCCGTTACAAATAGAGTTAGGTGGTGGTCTTTGAAGGCAAAAAACTGTTGGGCTGTTTTATATACATGGCTTATAGTCAGCACGTTGGCCTGGTTCCACATTCAGAATCATTGACTTAAGACAAGATCAGCTGATGAGATTTGGCATAGTTGCATGCAATACTACAAGGTGCACAGCTAGGACAAACTACATGCATTGAAGACCAGTGTTCCTATTTCGTATTTTGCTAGTTCAACTAACATTGTGTTTAAGATCAGGCAACAACATTTGTAAAGTAGTATGTTTAGGAGACCAACAAAGAAAATACAACAAGATGTAGTGTGTTCTTACATTAAGTTCTAAAAATTACCTCTAAATTCTGAATTTGAAAAAAAGTTGCAGAAGAGAAATTCAGATGCCTACAATGCCAAATGCACACCACATACACCTTTAACCCTAAACCAACATTAATCTTTGGCTTTCAATTAAAAAATAGACTGAAAATAGGTCTGCATTAACGCAGCAACCATTTTGGTGCAAGACAACAAAAGAAAATGGTAACACAAAAATAATTCCCATCCACAACAGCTGCACCTTCACTTTCGTTTTATTCTGTATCAGTAACTCAACTCTAATCAACTCTGACACTTTTCCTTTGCGTAGTAACACATTTAAGCTTTTTGGAGGCAGGGGAATTAATATTGCATTGATGCTTATTATTAATGATGCAAATCATTAACTGATTTCCCATCAACCTGACTCAAGTCTTAATGAAAATATCCAAACACAGGGATACTCTAAAGCCCTTATTCAGATAGATATTTAGGTGTCTTCTGGTTAAAGATGGCTCCTTTTGGAGCCCTTTGCAATTACCTTCCCTTTCTCCCCCTCCCCAAAGAATATTCTCTGCAAGAGAGATATTTGAGGGTGTTTATTTTGTGTTTTAATTCTTTATATTAATGGATAGCCAAGATTTAAAAGTATCCAAACATACTCATCTAAAGGAAATCACATTTTAGAGCCATAAATTGAAGATCAAAAAAAAAAAATCAGAAAATGTATTTGATACAGATTGCCATTAATAGTACTTGATAAAAAGTCTCAACAGGCATTTTATATCCTCTTCCCTCTTTAAGTAGCTGCTTACTTTCTCACTGTCCTTTCTTAGTAGGAAAGGATGAAGACTTGATCTTATGAGTGACTAGATGTCCCATTACAGGAAAGTTTTTCAGCCGTACCAAAGGTCTTCCTTAGATTTAGTTCTCAGACACCAAACAGAAAACTGTGCTGAACAGTTTATTTGGCTTCAAAGATCTGAGGCATACGGCAAAACAGTCTTTTGTGAAACTTTACTCCATTACAGTCAGCGTTCTTGTTTTCACAAGGAATTTTACTGACGTTTTAAACTGTACAGTATCAATAAGCGTGGCCAACACATAAGCACCGATTGTATCTCACCTTCTCTGATGTACTAAGCATATTCCCACTGCAACATGAAATAACCCAGTAGTGGATTATTCCGGGCTATATCACACCCTCTATCTTCTAAGCAATGACGTACCAGAAGTAACTTTTGTTCTACCTTAATTTCATTTGCTCCTATTTGAAATTTACCACTTTTTTGCCCCCTTCTGTCCAAACCCAGCAGCACAAATCAGCCCCATCCCAATCCCAGCGGCACTGAGCACTCCCACCGATGCCAGAGGAGCGTCCCAGGGCAATCACCGCTCTCCAGGTAACCCTGGCCAGAAAGCTCCCCTTTTCCCCCAGAACCACCGCTCCGAGAACCGCAACAGCGAGGCGGCAGAGCTGTAACTTCACAGAAGCGACATTTTCCCCGCAAGCCAGGACCGGCCCCCCCTTCGCAGCGCTGCGCCCAGGGCCGCCGCGCCCAGGGCCGCTCAGCCCGGAGCCC